TCTTTTTTTTTTTAATTATTTTTAATAAATTTTTTTTAATACTCTTATATTACTTTTTATCGAATTTATTTTTATATTAAAAATACTTATTTCATTCCTAAACAAAATATTTATATATTAATTTGTCATTCTCAAAACAAATTATTTATTTTCTTTTTAATGTAATTTTTTTTACAATATATTATACAAATATTATTATCTTTATATTATGTAATATTAATAAGAGTATTTTTATTACTATTTTTTTCTTGATTTGTATTATATACAAATATAATATTATCTCCACTCCTAACTCAAATTATTATTTTTACAAAATATTCATTTTTGTCATTCTCAAAACAAATTATTTTCTTTTTAACAGTAAAACTTTTACAATTTATAATATATTATACAAATATTATTAAATTTATATTACATGATATTAATAAGGGTATTTTTATTAGTCCATCCGTCCCATTGAAATATTACTTTTTACACGTAAATTTTTTAATATTAGTATTATATTGGGATGTAATAAAAAAAGGACCAAAATACCCATATTAGTATTGTGTAATATAAAAATAATGAAATTTATGTAATATATTGTAAGTTAGAAGAGTATTTATTATATTAGATTGAGAGTACAATTACTAAATTAAAAAATAATAACCTTGTATTAAAATTGACGGAAATAGAAAATAACCTTTTGTTGGAACGAAAAAAATAATATTGTTAGGGTGCTACAATACACCAGGTGGTCCAGCAGTCTATTGCTATTTTTATCTTTTTAGATTATTTTTGTATTTATTTTTAATTATAAATTAATTTATAAATTATATTTATATTATAATTATTTTTATTTTTAATTTTTAAAAGTTTGTTTTAAAATTATATATTTTTTCTTTTCTTTTATTTTATTATTTATAAAATAATTTATTTATATTTTAATTTTATAATTGATATTTACAGTAATATTTAACTATTTAATATTTATTGAGATTTATAGTTAATTAATTATGATAAAATATTATAAATTATTTATATTAAATTTGAATTAATTGATAGTATTATGTTTATCAAATAATATTACTTATTATTTTATACAGTATTTCATATAATTTTTTAGTAGTATTAAAATTTTTAAATTTTTTAATTTGAATATATAATATTTTTTTAAGATCAAATAATAAAAATAATTTATATGTATAATATTTAAAATATTATTATAAATTAAATGTGTAAAAATAGTAAAATATTGTGTTTTATTTATAAATTAAAAAAATTATTTTAAACCAAATATAGAAAGAATATATTTTAATCCTAAAAGAAGAGCAGGGTTGAAGATGAGTTAATGTAACATTCATCTAAAAATAAAGATTTGCAAAAATGGAGTTATGCGTTGGATTAAAGTAATTATATACTAATACCAAAATATTTTTATAATTTTTATCTAAATTACAAACATACCCTTACATATATAATTATTTTTTACATAAAATCAAAAGAGCAAAAATATCAAAACTTTTTACATATTTTCACTGACTAATAAAAATACTATTCAATTATTTTTTAATTTATTACAAAACTTCAAGAGCTTTTTTGAACGGAACAAAGAGAATACTAATATTAAAAAAAACAAAACAAAAAAAAAAAAAAAACAAAATGCAACCGAATACTTTGTTTGGAATTGAAGATAATACTACTCTCTATGTCCCGGATATTTTGTCCACGTTACTGTACACACGAGAATTTAAGAGGGGTATAATTAGTAAATAATTAAAAATGTATTAGTGAAAATAATTATCGTATAATAAAAATAATTATAGATTAAGATAAAGATAATTGATTAGTATAATTAAAATTAAAAAAATTATAAATTAAATCTTTAGAAATAAGATTAAAATGTATAATTATTTTTCAAAAAAGAAAAGTGATAAAATAAATAGGACGGACAAAAATTGAAAGATGGAGACGAAAAGTGGGACGGAGGAAGTATTATTTTTAATTTTTATGTCTAAATAAAATGTAATAAATATTTTTAAAAAGAGATGTAAATGTGATTCAGAAATTGATTGAGGTGGGATGTACACTGCAGCACGTGTGTAGGTTCAATGCACCACTAGACCCATTTATTACATAAATCAACATCGGACATCAGCCTACGTGGTCGACAGCCCTGTTCTATATGTTGGGACAAAGGTGAACAATATGCATTTATGAGACAAAAATTATTTTTGATCTTATAGAATATTAGTCCCTCCCTCCCATGTAACAAGGGTATTACTGTAGATACAAAAATTTAGGTAAAGTATAATTAATAAATAATTAAAAAATTTATTAGTAAAAATAATTATTATTTAATAAAAATAATTATAGATTAAGATTAAAATAAGTAAATAGTTTAATTAAAATTAAAAAAATTATAAAATTTAAAATTTGAAATGCAATTAAAGTGCATAATTATATTTCCAAAAATAGAAAGAATAAATTATGTGGGACGGACGAAAATAAAAAATAGAGACAAATTATGTGGGACGGAGGGAGTATAATTGTTAATTTTGATTTCATTGATTTATTATTATTATTATTATTATTATTATTTTGATCATATTTATAAAATTTATCAATTTTAGTTTTATGATAGCTAATATACACTAAATATGGTAATATCAGATAATTAAAAAAAGTTACTAACTCCACATATAATCAATACAATAGCGTTTAATTTAATATGGTCGTATTCATTACTATACTTTAAACATAATCGTATTCATATCCTTATTTACAGTCATATTTTGAATACGACTCTATTTATGTCCCGATTTACGATTGTATTTGTGCCTCAATGTACGATCATATTCTGAATACGACCATATTTTTGCTTGTATTATATTCATTATCATATCCATCACTTTGTTCAAATTATTTGATACATATTTGTATATATATAATTCAACAAAAATATTTTTTATAATTATTTAAAATATAAAAAAAAATCAAATTTAAATATTTTAGGAAATAATTGAAAAAAAAACTATAAAAATAATAGATTAATATAGTATATAAATTTAATAATCATAATTATATAATTTATAATTTTAAAATATAGAAAAATAAATATCATTTAAAAAAATTATTATATTTTTAACTAAAACAAATTTAATACAACATGAATAATGTCTATAATTAATGCATAATATAATTTTTTCAGTTAAAATAAAATATTTTTAAAATAATATTTATATTTTTTGAAATATAAATATCTTTGTTACAAAAATTTTGAATTTGTTAGCAAATGTATTTGTCTAATGTTCATCTCATGTTGCAGTTGAATAGTGTTTATTTGGAGTTTAGATTTTGAGTTGAGATTTGACGATAAAAATAGGCGTTAGATGTTATGCTTTGAATGTAAAATAATTTTTTAATATAATATAAAAAATAAAAGATAAATATTTGATTTAATATTTTTTGAAAAAATAAATTTGATAAATAATATAATTATTTTAAAAAAAAATCCCATAACTTGTAGAAAAAAATTTATTCAGGGTGTGTTTCTTTTACCCGATTTTAGAGAAAGTTACTGTGCGAGCCTGTAGGTTTGGGTTTGAACGCCAATGTCACGTTAGGAGGGACAACTCCTGTGACGGCCGAGAGCGCTTGCAAAAACTGTCATTCTCTTTTTTTTTTTTTTTTTAAAAAAAATTAAACTTAAAATACAATTTTGCAAATTATAGAAAAATAACTTTTAATATTTTAAATAATAATATTTTCTAAAAATATATACAATATATATGTCATTTTGTAAAAAATAAAATTTTCTATAATACAAATAAATAAAAATTTAAATATATATATTGGGTACATTATAAATTCATAATTAGGTCATACAATATAAATTTTATCAATTAAATTTAATACACATTTATATTATTTTATTCATTATCCATCAAATCAATACCCATCAAAACTTCCAAAACCCCAACCAAACTCAAACACATAAGAAACAACACAATTAAAATTCAAATAAAAATCAAACTCAAGCTCAAATTCCCACAAACCTCTCTAAAAAACATACACTCAATTTGTTGCTTTGAATTTGTGAAGACATTTATGATGATATTACAGTACTTTTAGGTATTGTTCACCTACAAGTAGGTATATTAAATATAGCCTTAGTTTAAATAGAGGTTTTTGGAGATTTTTAAAATTTTAAAAATTTGAAAATTATAAAAAAAATATTATAATATTTAATATAATATTTTGTAAAAAAAATAAAATATATTTTTATGTGATATTTTTTTTCAAAATTGAATAATATCCAAATTTCAAAAGTATTTGTATAAATAGGATTAGTTTATCATCTTCACTATTATATGATCGATTTGTGTATGTATACTTTTGGATATAAATGTTTGTGTTTAGCTCTTTGATTTTTCTTATTCATGGAGAGATCATTTTGAGAGAAATATGATTAATTTAAAGAGGGAACAACTCATTTTGGATGTCACTTTCCTTAATTTCCCTCACATTCTTCCTTTCAATGTGACTCATGCTTAAAAATATACTACCTCCGTCCGGTTCTAAAGATCTTATTTATTTTTTAGCATGTTGATATTTGAATATTAATTATTATATCAAAACGTAATACAAATTAAAAAATAAAATGCAAAGATACTTTCATTAGTGTCTTATAATACTAATAAAATGACATCTGTATAAAAAATTATATATATATAAAGATATTTTTAATATTAAATATAATAATACAAAAGATAAATATGACCTTTAGAGACGGACACACGGATTATCTTTAATCTTCTACCTTTGATCTCTTTTATGACTTCCATTACTATTAGTGTTCCTTGATGACTTTTTGATGGTTTTGTAAAAAAAATATATATATATATATTTGATGTGATATTCTTTAAAAAATAAATAGTGTTAAATAAGTGAAAGTATATTGTGTAAACAGAGCCTAAAAGTGTGTGTGTCTGTGAGTTAGGTTCCAAGTTTCGAACATGTCCATAAATTAAATTTAATTTGCTTTGCAGTATTAATCGATAGATCACTTTCTTCTCTCTCTCTCTCTCTCTCTCTCTCTATATATATATATATATGTGTGTGTGTGTGAGAGAGAGACAATCTGTTGGTGTCATCTGCGTCGGGCCGGGTCGGGTCGGGATGGTTGATTTGAGGGAGTATTATACTGTAATTAATTGCAACCTCGAAGAATCTCCATACGTTGCACGGATTCCACAAACATTCTGCAGTTACGTACTTTGAATTAATTAATTAATCATCATATATCAAACAGCACATCACCGATTAATATACTTCCTCGGTCTCGAAACTAAATATTTATTTATTTTTTGTACATAATTTTAAAAATATTAGTATTATATTGGGATACAATAGGAATAAATTAGAAATGACTAAAATAACCTTACTAGTATGTATGATATAAAAGTAACGACATTTGTGTAATATATTGTAAGTTGCAAGGGTCTTTGTAATGTTAGGTAGATAATACCATTGCTTAAAAAAGAAATGAATACTTTTGTTACGAGACGGATTAAAATGGAAAAATAAATATTTTGTTATGGGACGGAGGGAGTAATTTAATTTAGTTATATAGTAATTAGATAGTAGAATTGAAATTAATTAATATAATTTGAATTGTATGAAGACTTACTCCCAGGGGACGTCGCCCAGCAGCATCCAATCACCTTCCCTGTCCTTGTACAATATTCTGTACTCTGATTCACTTGCACTTGCACTTGCACTGCTATTTTTATTCATCTCATTGTCTGCACCAATTTCAATAAATAAATTAATTAATTAATTGATTATATAATCACATATATATATATATATTATATGTATGTATGTATGTACATTTGGCAAACATGTGGATCAAGGCAGCGGAGAGAGAGGGGTAGGAATGGTAAAGTGCGAGGTCGATTTTTCTGCCAATGCCCACGCCTTCCATCTTCACTTTCACATACGAAGAAGAAGATATTGAAGGTGGAGTGCAGTTTCCTCCATGGATCATATGTTCGTCAATCTGCATCTGCATCTGCATCTTCGTCTTCACTTCTTTTTGTATCGATGAATAATTGATGGGCGGCCATCCCTCGATTTCTTCTTCTTCTTCTTCGCAAAATTCCTGATTGTGATTTTGATGATCGCCATCATCGTGTTTCTCTCTGCACAATTACATTATATAAATAAAATAAATATCTGACATGTGTAATCCATGGAAGCCTTTTTCAGAATGATGAATTGATGACTAGTTCTTACTGCTGCTTTATTCTCCAACAATGGTATCTTTGTTGGGATTGAGATTGAGATTGAGAATGATGATTATGATGATGATGATGATGAAGGTGATTAATGAGTGGTTCAGTGCAATTCAAATCGAGATCATGGTTATGATCACTGCTGCTGCTGCAGGGAGGGGCCAGACCCAGCTCAAGTTCCATGCTTTCTCCTTCGTCTACCTCATCCTCCATATGTCTATAGATATATATATATATATATATAGAGAGAGAGAGAGAGAGAGAGATCAATTAATTAAGTTGGTTTTTGTAGCTTCACTGTGAAGCGTGTCGAGTGAGTGTTTGCTATTATATATACACCCAAATATATATATATATATATTCGCTGATCCTATATAAACAGTAACATTTGTTTTTTTCGCGTAAATTTTTGAATATTAGTATTATATTGAGTTGTAATAAAAAATACAAAAATATTCTTATTAGTATTGTGTAATATAAAAATAGTGAGATTTGTGTAATATACTGTAAATTAAAATATTATTTATTATATTAGATAAATAATATAATTATTAAATTAGAAAATAATATTCTTATTTTGACATAGACGAAAATAAAAAATAAAACCCTTTCTATAAAACGAAGGAAATATATTTATATATACAATGGACACATGTATTTTGTTTTATATTTATTTAATCAGCAACTACTACTTTTTGCATTGATTACTTTTTGAATAAATTCCAATTAAATTTAATAATTTGTAAATTAAATTAAACAAAAGTAAATTATATTAGACAAATATGTTGGCAAGCAGCAAATAAGCTGACTCAAAAAATAGATAGAGATTTTCTTTTTCTTTTATTTTTTAATGTATTATAGTAAATTTGTCTGATTTTGATAATAATAATAAAAAAATAATAATCATATTGATTAAAATTTATGTTTTTATTAAATATGTTTTCTTACACCAAATTCTCAATTTTACTATTTAAATTAAATATTTTTTTTTCTAATCACATAATATCTTATCAAATATTATTGTAATATTAAATCAAAGCAAATTTTTTCAAAAATTAAAAGAAACACAACCCAAGAAAAAGATACTTCCTCCGTCCCACATAATTTGTCCCTATTTTGTCATTTCTATTTTTGGAAATATAATTATGCACTTTAATAGTATTTTAAATTTTAAATTTTATAATTTTCTTAATTTTAATTAAACTATTTACTTATCTTAATTTTAATATATAATTATTTTTACTAATACATTTTTATTTTCTTACTAATTATATTTTACCTAAATTATCATGTCTATAAAATACACCCATATTACATGGGACAGAGGGAGTATATATATATATATTTAAAATGGTTACTTATATATACTACTACATCACTGTTTGATCTTAAAAAGCCGGCTGCCGCTATGTCTGTGTATGTATATACACGTTTTTTTCTTTTAAATAGTTTATTCATTCGATGAAATTAAATGTAATAATTTTAAATAAAAGATACTAATAATTAGCAAAATTAATTTTACAAATAATAAAAAATAAAATAAAAAGTCCTACTAATAAGGAATGGAGGGAGGCGTGCAAAGAATTCAAAGATTGGTGAGAAAGACAGGGAGGGAACATGACTGAATTCGAGTCGGGCTATGAGGGGACAATCTGTCTGTATGTCGGGCCATCCGCATCCGCATCCGACTCCTCTTAATCTCCATTCGATACTTTTTGTCTGTCTATGCTCCATCACCGTTCTATAAACCCATTCAGATAATGTGTGTTAGAGAATTACGGGGTGTGTTTATTTAATGAAATAATTTTAAGAGGTTTTTTTTAATATGAAATATAAAAAATACATAAAAAAATAAAAATAAATATGATATATTAATATTTTTGGAAAAATATATTTTAGAAAAAATATACTCTCTTCCTTCGCTTTAAAGAGTCACGTATATCTTTTGTCTCATTATATTTAACATTAAAAATATCTTTATATTTATATAATTTTTTGTATGTCTTTCAAAGTATTTTTTTTTGCAATTTTTTTTTTAATTTGTACTTTATTCTGATATAATAATTAATATTCAAATATCAACATCTAAAAAAAAAAATAGTAAATGAAACCTTTAGAGCTGAACGGAGGTGATATTTTTTTTAGTAAAAGAATACAACCTACGTTTTTCTATCTAGGTAAATATATCCTTCCTCCCTCCGAAAAAACAACAGTATGTTGGAGCCAAGAGATTAAAAAAAAAAAAATATTATACTAAAAACTTAAAAAAATAAATGAAAAGATAGTTGTGATATGTTTGAAACTTTAATTATCTCGAAAAAATTACCTTAAAATCTATATAGATACAAGACAATTAATCGAAGACACTTGATTATGTGCTTAGACACATTAATTCAACAAATGCTGAATCAATCCTTGCTTTAATCAATATTTAATTATTTTAATTAAATTAAATTATATCACCAAATGAAGGTTATGATTTGATTTAGCAATGCTGAAATGCTCAATTCAACATACAATCCAACTTGGTAATTGAATACTCTCGGTAATTATCTCGAAACATTTTCTGTGACCATTTTACTGTGCAAATCTAAGAAGTCACGGAATGACGAGACAAATTATCTCATCGAATTGACCAAAAGAATGTTGTGACAACATATTGCCTCGAAAATATTCACAAACGTCGTTGAGATTATATTTTGTCTCGAACAATCGTGATAATTTCTAAAACTATATTTTGTATCCAACTCTTGTGATAATTTTTTAGACTATTTTTTTTGTCTCGAATGGCCGTAGAAAAGTTTGAGACTACTTTGTCTCAAATTGTCATGATAATTTTCAAAAATATGTTATCTCAAACGGCTTTGTCACAATTTTTATGATTATATTGTCGCAATAAATCATGACAATATATGAGATTACATTTTATTCTAAATCGAGACTATATGTTGTCTTGAACAATCAAAATATAACTGAGATAATACTTGATCTTAATAACTATGACAATAATCGAGACTATATACTATATTCCATCTCAAAGTAATTGTAGCAATATTCGAAACTATAATTTATATCGAACAACCGTAACAATATTTGAGACTGTATTATTTCAAATAAGTATAGAAATATACAAAATAAATGAATTGTTTTGATCAGTTCACTTCTCATTACATTTCCAAAAAAAATGAGTGCATATCAATATGAAAAAATAAAATTACTATCTCAATTGTTCCCATTGCACTTCACACAAACATACAAGAACCGTGAAGCATTCACTCTAGTTATCTTTTCACGTGATCCTAATCCTAGCTTTGACACTCAACTTGATGACTAAATAAATTCTTCATATGCAATTATGGATCAACAAAATTTTTTGGAGATGTTTGAACAAAATTATTTTAGATATTTTGAGTGTAGATTTAATAAAAATTTCCTATATACTGTATAAGAGAATATTATAAAATTTTTACAAGAATATGCAATATAAAACGTTATGAAATAAATAAATTACCTCAACTTTAACAGCCGATTTGAATGCATACATATCATTTGATTTGCACCAACAATTTTAGTGAATTTCAAGCGAGAGTATTTAACTTAAATTATATTTTTATTAGTAATTACAATTAGAATATATATATATATATATATTTTGATGTATTCAAATCAATTGCATCGAAAAACTATCATAACAATCTTAGTAAATATATATTATACATTTGGCATATAAATTATTTTAAGCATATTTTTTTTTTTGAAAAAATAAGTAGCAGTGATCTAATAAATCAAAAAATTATAACTTAGAATAAAAAATTTTTACGCCCAAAAATATGCTCAACAATACGGTCATATTTTGTTGAAACTATTTCATTTGCTTTTCTCTATCTCTAAGTTTTACATTAAGAATATATAGTAGTAATGAGTCGATTAGCATTACCGGATCAGCTTCCGATCGCAATGACTCTTCTCTTTCTTCTTAGCACAACCACGAGCTTAGCGTGCCTGTCTCCTATGCAGCAGCTTTGGCTGCTACGCCCATTTCTTTATTAGATTTATTTTTATTGAAATAAAAGATAATAAAATCATGCAATATATATCATCTAAGATATAAATATTTGGCAAAATAGTGGTTTTCCGAATTCGTTGAAAATCTTCGTAATTCTAAATTCTAAAAAAATTTACTTGTGGTTTCCAAAAGATTGCATACTTGACCCACTCTTTAAATTTTATTAACGAACGTTAAATTTTTATCATATTTGACATACCATTATTTATATATTTTTTATTTTATTTCTCTCTTCTTGCTTCTCCCCCGCAGCACCAGATTGTTCTTTCTTCCCCCAAATTCTTCTTCAGACGCACAAGCTCTTTCTCTTCTTCTTTTTTTTTTCTAAATTTTTTATTCTTCTTCCCCAATTCTTCTTCATGCCGCCGCAGCCTCACCCGGTTATTTCTTTTTTTATTTTCCCCAATTGTTTTTTTTCCTTTTTCTTCGTCTCTTTGAAGAAGGAAGAATTGAAAAATAATAAAATAGAAAAAAAAAACGGCGGGCAGAAGCGGCTGGAAGAAGAAAGAAAGGAGGAAAAAGAGAAAGAGAAAAAGAAGAAAGAAGAGAAGGGAAAGGGAAAGAAGCTGGTTGGAGGAGATGGAGCCACACTATTTTATTTTTTCTTTTTATATTTCCCCGATTTTTTTTTTATTTCTCCTTTTTTTTTCAATTCTATTTCTTCTTTATTTTTTCACCAAAATTCTTCTTTCTTTCCCAATTCTTCTTCACGCCGCCGCAACCAGCCGTACCAGGTTTTTTCCCTTCTTTCTTTTTCCTCGTTCTTCACAGTGGCCGCTGATTTGAATCCGGTTTCTATTTGAACCCTAACCACCGGTTCAAGAACCGGAGAGCCAGCGGTTTGGAACCACATGGGCAAATATGGATATCAAATCGATTTCTTAAATTTTTGGGTTTGATGAAACAAATGAAGAAATTGATGGTGAATAATAGCTTACGTATTCTCGTCTCCATCTCCATGTCCGGTCGATTAATTGTGTTATAAATTTGGGATCGATTTCAAATTTAGTTGTGTTTAGCATATTTAAAATGAAAAAAAAAATGAATAGAGATTAAGGAAGAAGAAGAATGAGAAAGAAGAAGTCATTAGAGTATTTTAGTAATTGAAATATATCGGTTTATGGACAAAAAATCGTATTTCAGGCGCATGACATACAACCGCCGTTAAATCCTAACAGAATCGGGATTTTTTGCAACGTTTTAGAAATCACAAGTAGGTTTTTTAGAGTTTTAATACCACGGAGGATTTTC